ATGCCCTCCTCCTGCCCCGTCCAGCTCCTTTGCTCCGCAAACGAATCCCGGCTCGGCCACGATCCCCCAGATCACAGACCTCAGCAGAAGCAGGGAGCCTGCAGACCCCACACGGGGGCCAAGGGCTTGGTGGCTTCCGGAGAGACGTGGGAGCATGCATGCACCCGCCCCCCGCAGTGCCCACCGCAGGCAGGCGGCTCCTTGCTGGTGTGCTTGGAGTGGAGGGCAGGCTCTAACTCTGGGATTCCTTCAGCGAGTACTGGGTCTGCTTGGCTGGGGAACGTGTGACACCCTGAGACACCAAAGGTGGGCAGAACAGTAAGGCCCGGCCCCCTTGGGACTTAAGGCCTGGGGGGGTTGGGGGCGGGGAGGCGAAATCAGCTCAGCACTGACTCTGAGCCCCCCAAGGGGAGGCAGGCACCTTCAGCCTCTCACCCCTCACCGCTCCTGCCCGTGACACGAAGTATTTACTGGGTAAGTGAGGAATGTAAACAAAAACATTTTTGCCAATTGCAACAGAGGCTGTGAAGTGCCGGGGCCATGAGGACTTACAATGGGGAAGAAGAGAAAAAAGGGAGGTCCCATACAGGCCTTGAGGGTCAGTGATGACTTCTATAAGAAAGTGAGGCTCAAACTATGATTTTTTCCCCTGTGTTTTCTAAAGTTGCTACAATGCACATGTATTATATGTGTGATTTATTTAAAAAGGAAACTATATCAGTATGATAAACGGAAAACCTGAATGGATTGCCATAAACAGCCCTGGCCGGTTTTGCTCAGTGGATGGAGCCTCTGCCTGCGGACTGAAGGGTCTCAGCCCTGATGACCTGTCACTGGATGTGCCCGTAGGGGCTGCATAGCAACTTGCTGGCCACGTGACAGAGGGCATCTGGAAGCCACAGGAAGCCGGGACCCTTGGGCAGGGCGACGCTGGCCCTCCTGGTCTCCGTGGAGAGTCCTCAGGAAATGCTTGGTGTGTCCGACTGCCCCTGCAGGGAGGGAGGAGGGAGGGCTCCTCACGCTAGGCTAGGCATTTCCAAAGGGGGTTTTCCCATCTTCCCCCAAGTCAGGCCGGGCATGCTCCCACCCCTGCCCCAGAGTGATGGGAAATGGGCGTCCCTCGCCATGTCACACGTGAGCCACCGTGTGGCCGCTCACTTGGAATGCAGCTTTGAGAGCTTCACCCCTACCCCAGCTACAACGGTCAACTCGTTCCAGCTTACCCAACTGTCTTTGTTTCATCACTGAAAGTCCCCCCCGCTCCCAGGAAACCCCCTTGTCCCGGGGAAATCGGGAGGTTTGATCATCCTAACTGTGGCCCTTCCCCTCTGCTCAGGACACCCCCCCACTCCCATCCCAGAATCTTTTCTTTGCTTAACTGACTCCATTTACCCTGCCTCACCACGCCAGTTAACTGAGCAGCTGGTCTGAATGGGTTCTTGCCCCATGGACGATGCGTTCCGGGCAGCAAACCAGAGAGCTGTTGGACAATAATTCCGCGAATAAGGAATCGGGCCATTTCCAATTACTGTGAAACTAATCATCCCACATTGGAGCAGCTTGAAACAGTCAACATTTATTAAATCACACGGTTCCAAACGGGTCAGGGATCCAGGAGCGACTGGTTCACTGGGCTGGTTCCGGCTCGGGGTCTCCTGCGATGTCGCAGTCAAGATGGGTGCCCGGGCTGTGCAGGTTTGAGTGGCGCTGTGGGACCAGCTTCCCAGGTAGGGCGCTCACACGCCTGGCGAGCGGGTGCTGGCCAGTGAGTTGGCCAGAGGCCTCGGTTCCTTGCCACCTGGGCTTCTCCGGGCACTGCCTGGAGGTCTTCACCACATAGCAGCTGGCTTCCCCCAGTGTGAGTGACCCAGAAGAAAAGAAGGTGGAAACTGCAAGCACTTTTTAAAAATATATATATATTTTATTGATTTTTTTACAGAGAGGAAGGGAGAAGGATGGAGAGTTAGAAACAGTGATGAGAGAGAAACATCGATCAGCTGCCTCCTGCACACTCCCGCCCCTACTGGGGATGTGCCCACAACCAAGATACATGCCCTTGAACGGAATTGAATCTGGGACCCTTGAGTCCACAGGCCGACGCTCCATCCACTGAGCCAAACCGGTTAGGGCTTCAAGCACTTTTATAACCTGGTCTTGGAAGTCACGCTCCGTCATTTCTGCATACCCCACTGGTTATACATGCCAGCCCAGCTCAGTGTGGGGAAAGGCTTTACAAGGATGTGGATACCAACACTTGCCAGTCACAGGGGACCATCCCGGAGGCTGGCACTACAATTAGGCTTTGCACTAGGTCCAGCTTTAAAAAAAAATAAATATTTTTATTGATTTCAGAGAGGGAGAGGAAGAGAGAGAAACATCAATGATGAGAGTGAATCATTGCTCGACTGCCTCCTGCATGCCCCCCACTGGGGATCAAGCCCACAACCTGGGCATGGGCCCTTGTCCAGAATCAAACCTGGGACCCTTCAGTCCGCAGGCCAACACTCTATCCACTGAGCCAAACCGGCTAGTGCAGCCCAACTTAATTATTAGGATTGGACTCGGCTCTTCAAGCAATTTTCAACGAGCAGGCTTCCTCAGCAGCCTTGTTTTCTGTGCTGGGAGCTCTCCCTCGCCTTCCTCTCTGAGGTCCCTTCCTGTCCACCACCGAGTCTATGACATCTCTTTCCCCTGCACCTGTCCATCCCTCCCCTCGCTGACCCACCTCTTCTCCCTCTCTTCCTTCCCAGAGCAAGCTGCCCGCACGGAATCTGCCTTCATAAGTCACTGCCAAGGCCTGTTGCCCAATTTGTGAAATGAAATGAGAAGAGCCAGGACGAAGACAGATGGGCAGCGCCGGGCGGAGAGGAGCAGGCCGGTTCCTAAGTGTAAAATATGGGCAGACCTGCCATTATCTATTCTCTAGGACAAATAGATCATCACTGAATGGGCTGCGGAATAGCAGAGAGACAAATCACCCAGCTCTGGTAGTGTCACCGGCCCCTAACTGATGGGCTCGGGCTCCACCGCTCTCAGAATTGCCTTGCCCGGCTCCTGTGGGACCCCAAACAGGAGGGACCCCAAACAGGGGGGGGCAGGGGCAAGACAGCTTTGCTGTCTCAGCGGGGGCATGAGCCGCACCGCCAAGTCCCGGCCTCTCTGGGGTATGCATGCTATGCAGTAGGAATTATGCGACTTTGACACAGTGTCACATAAAACCATCAGAAATTACAGATACGTCAGAAAAAAAAAAGGCAACATTTTAACTCATTAGGGATGGGGCAATGTCAAAGCAGTCCCGGGGATGGAATGAATTATCAACTGTGTTCATGCCACTGCCACAAGGCGGCGCCACTGTAGCCGGAGACAAATGACCACACTGTGACATTATTCTGGAGCGAATCACAAAGCTGTTCAGCACACTCTGGATTCTAGCAACTGTTTTTCTGTGGCTACGCAGCTGTCATTTTGCCATTCACTGTCATGAAAAGCCACCTTAAAAAGACATAGTAACATTTTTTTTTGGTGTGTCATTTTTTTTTATTGCTTAAAGTATTACAAAGAGTATTACATATGTCTCCTTTAAGATATAGTAACATTACCCATGCATTCACAAGGTAGTGATGCTAGTGCTGAAACCCCCTCCCCCACCCCCAAATGAGTATCTTTGGTGTGGATACTGGACCCGACGAAACACCACGAAGACTGAACTACCTGCCAAATCGGTTTGGCTCAGTGGCTAGAACGCTGGCCTGCGGAATAAAGGGTCCTGGGTTCGATTCCGGTCAAGGGCATGTACCTTGGTTGCGGGCACATCCCCAGGAGATGTGCAGGAGGCAGCTGATCGATGTTTCTCTCTCATCAGTGTTTCTAACTCTCTATCCCTCTCCCTTCCTCTCTGTAAAAAATCAATAAAATATATTAAAAAAAAAGAAAAAAGACTGAACTACCTCCTCAACAGGTGGTGCTGTTAACCTAGGAGAGTGCTGGAGGGCAGAGATTATGCTGCAACCATACAAAGCAGCATCAAAAGCAAAAAATGTGGGAGACGGTTGTAGATTTACGAGCTGTGCGAACGCATTTGATCACTTACTTTACAGTCATTCCTGTGGGGGAAAGAGGTTCTGGGACTACAAAGGTTTGAATCATGTGAAGTTTACCGAAGGCATCCTCCCTGAGAAATGGCACTTCCCCGGACCTCCCAGCCGTCCTGGCAGAAATACGGCTCCTGCAGCCGCCTCCTGCGAGCGGAGAGCCGTGGGTTGAATTGTGTCCTGTGAAATCATGGAAGTCATATATTGAGTCTCTGCCTCCAGGTCCTGGCTCGGAGCTCCTAAAACCCATGTAGTTGCCCTGACCGGTTTGGCTCAGTGGATAGAGCGTCGGCCTGCGGACTCAAGGGTCCCAGGTTCGATTCTGGTCAAGGGCATGTACCTTGGTTGCGAGCACATCCCTGGTGGGGGGTGTGCAGGAGGCAGCTAATTGATGTTTCTAACTCTCTATCCCTCTCTCTTCCTCTCTGTAAAAAATCAGTAAAATATATTTTAAAAAATAATAAATAAAACCCGTGTAGTTCACTAAGCGGTAACAGCACTGGGCGCACTTTTTTGTTCAACTATTTGGTCTTTCCTTGCCTGCATGTGTGCATAACCCCTGGACGCAGACAGTGGGGTGGTGAGGGCCTGGGCGCAGCTTACGAAAACACATCAGTCCGATCAGAAGAAAACATAAGACAAACCTGAACTGAGAGACTTTCGACAGATACTGGCGGATACTCTTCAAAAGTGTCCCGGTCGGCCCTGGCCGGCATGGCTGAGTGTCGGCACTCAAACCGAAGGGTAGCGGGTGTGATGCTGGTCAAGGGCACATACCTGGGTTGCAGGTTCCCTGCCCCAATGGGTGTAGTAGGCAACCAACTGATGTGGCTCTCTCACTTCAATGTTTCTCTCTCTCTCTCTCTCTCAAAATTAGTAAAGCCCGGCTGGTGTGGCTCAGTGGTTGCGTGTCAAACTAGGAATCAGGAGGTCACAGTTGGATTCCCGGTTGGTCGGGGCACATTCCCAGGTTGCGGGCTCAGTCCCCTCTGTGGGTGGTGCAGGAGGCAGCTGGCCAGTGATTCTCTCTTATCATTGATGTTTGTCTCCCTCTCCCTCTCCGAAATCAATAAAAACATATTTTAAAAAATCTTAAAAAAAGAAAATGAAGACACTCCCACGCCTGGCCCATTTTCCCCAAACGGTCCGTTTGGAAGGGAGAATCTGCCAGCACTAGACGGAACATAAAGTTT